CAAACTGTGTGTGTGTGCGTGCGTGAGCAGGCTGCTTGTGTGCAGGATCCCCTTCGCTCGCCTCCCCCGTCGTCCCCTCGCGGAAATGGGGCGCGCCATTGCCGCAGTCCCGACGGACGGGCACCAGGTGGCCAGGCCCGCGTCGGCAGTGTGGCTTGGGGCACCGAAGAAGCGGCGGCTGCAACGGGGGCCGACCGCTCCAGCTTTGGTCGCCTATGACTCCGACGGTGTTTTTTTTTGCGGGTGAGTGCGCGGCCTGCCCTTCTCCGCATGTTCTTCTTCCGCATCCCCGCGCAGGGCTACGCAGTCTAAGCGGGCCCCTTTTTTCTCTACTCGCTCTTTTTTCTTTTTCATTCATGCCTCGCTCCGCCGCCGGTGCACCCCGCCGCTTGCTGACAGGCGCCTGACTGTCTTGGAGCACTTGGCGCCCGCGGACCTGACTCAAGTGGGGCCTGCTCCCGGGTTGCAATCGGGCCGCCGCCATGAGGGCGATTTAGGGAGAAAGAAAAGGAGGAAGAGGAGGAAGAGGAGAAGGAAGAGGAGGAGGAGGTGGAGGAGGAGGAGGTGGAGGAGAAGGAGGAAGAGGAGGAGGGAGTCAGGACCAGGACGGTAAAGGTTCTGGCACTTCTCCACCAGGGAGAGGACCCCACATCCGAGGCGTTTGTGGGTGCCCTCATCCTCGTTCAGTAGTTACCTTTCTTGTTTGGTCTCCTTCGCGAGGGATCTGCCGCCGGATACTAGAGTTGGTGGCGCGCAAAAGGGGGTAGGGGAAGGGGGGGGGGCTTTTTAGAATCGGGGTAATGTAAGACTCGATTGAGTAAGCCAGAATCGGGGTTTGCCGACGTTATTTTAGGAGCGCGTCCCGGATTTGACGGTCCAGTTTTCATGGAATGTCTGCAGCGGGAGCTCGCGTCAAATTCCAGATTGGGTCTCGGCATTTTCATGATGGCCCCGCCGGGCCAACCCGAGTCCCTTGTACCCGAGTTCTGCGTCTCCCCGATAGAAGCACCTCTGTTTCTTGGAAGGCCTTCGCCCTCTTGGAAGCAGCCTCCTTCTAAGAGGCCTTCCCCCTCTCTCCCTGCCCCCCCCTCGTGCGCGCCGCCAGCGGGCCTCCTGCCCTGTGCTCGCCCCGTCGTCCTCTCTGCCTCAGCTGAACTCGGGCCTGTCCCTCTACAGGAGGCAGTCTGGGGACGATGCTCCTATCATCGGTTGATCATTTTTTCCCAACCATCCTGTGGTGTTGGGTCCTCGTTTTGAAGAGACAGCGCCCCGCGTTCACTCTTTCCTTCCTCCCGCTGCCCCCTCCCTCCCTCCTCCCTCCTCCCACTATCACAGCACACCCCTAACACGTTTCGTGGCCCCATAGGGAGCTCCACCGAAGGCCCCAGTGGCTGCGGGCGCATGGCAGCACCGCGCTCATTTCGGCACACCGCTCACACGTTTCGTGGCCCCATAGGGAGCTCCACCGAGGGCCCCAGTGGTTGCGGGCGCATGGCGGCACCGCACCCATTTCGGCACACCGCTCACACGCTTCGTGGCCCCATAGGGAGCTCCACCGAAGGCCCCAGTGGCTGTGTTGGCATGGCGGCACCGCGCCTATTTCGGCACACCCCTCACACGTTTCGTGGCCCCATAGGGAACTCCACCGAAGGCCCCAGTGGCTGCGGGCGCATGGCGGCACCGCACCCATTTCGGCACCTCCCTCACACGTTTCGTGGCCCCATAGGAACTCCACCGAAGGCCCCAGTGGCTGCGGGCGCATGGCGGCACCGCACCCATTACGGCACACCCCTCACACGTTTCGTGGCCCCATAGGGAGCTCCACCGAAGGCCCCAGTGGCTGCGGGCGCATGGCGGCACCGCACCCATTTCGGCACACCCCTCACGCGTTTCGTCGCCCCATAGGGAGTTCCACCGAAGGCCCCAGTGGCTGCGGGCGCATGGCGGCACCGCACCCATTTCGGCACACCCCTCACACGTTTCGTGGCCCCATAGGGAGCTCCACCGAGGGCCCCAGTGGCTGCGATGGACGGCTGAGCCGCACCCTTTTCGGCGGCCCTACCCACGCCCCAGTGGCTGCCATTTCGGCACACCCCTCACACGTTTCGTGGCCCCATAGGGAGCTCCACCGAGGGCCCCAGTGGCTGCGTTGGCATGGCGGCACCGCACCCATTTCGGCACACCCCTCACACGTTTCGTGGCCCCATATCCACCGGGAGGCTGCCACCGAGATAGGGAGCTCCACCGAGTGGCTGCGTTCGCATGGCGGCACCGCACCCATGTCGGCACACCCCTCACACGTTTCGTCGCCGAGGGCCCAGGACAGCGCTTCGTGGCCCCATAGGGAGCTCCACCGAAGGCCCCAGTGCTACCGCCCGCATGCGCCCCGTACGCCCAGGACAGCGTTTCGTGGCTCCATAGGGAGCTCGACCAAAGGCCCCATTGGTACCGCCCGCATGCGTCCCGTACGCCCAGGACAGCGTTTCGTGGCACGCCTTTCGTGGCCCCATAGGGAGCCCCACCGAAAGCGGCACCCACAGAGCGTTATTCACAATTGCGTATGGTTGGGTCCTTCGCCAGGATAGTTTGTCCATTTTTTATTTTTCATCTGATAGTTTGTCCATTTTTTATTTTTCATCTAAAGCCCGCCTGGAGGAGGACATCCCCGACCCAATCCTCGGCCCGCGCCGCCTATTCCGGATGAGTGCTGCCTCGGCCACGGGGTCCCCGCCGTGCCTGCCGGGGGCCCCGCGTGTCTCGGTTGCCTGCTGCTGGCTTGCTGCCTCGGGGGATCGGCTGCGTCCTCGGACTCCGGGTTCGTCAGGTTGTTAGTGAGCAAGCGAACGGGTCAGGAGGAGGAGGAGGAGGAGGAGGAGGAGGAGGAGGAAAAGGAGGAGGAACAGGAAACGCAGGAGGAGCAGCAACGTCGGGATTACACTGGCTTCCGACGCCTAGCATGAGTAGGGTTTTGCCCAAACACTGCCTGCACCCGAGGGTATTATTCAGCTCGTTGAGTCATTGGGTGGGTCTCCTTGAGTCATTGGGTGGGTTTGGCGGGGTTTCGCCTGATGGGCGGACGTGGGTGCTCGTGGACGTCGCGTGCGCTGGGTGGGGTTGCCGAGGTTTCGCTGGCAGTGGGCGCTTCTTGGGCGCCCCGTGCGCTGGGTGGGTTTGCTGAGGTATCGCCTGGTGGACGGCCGTGGTCGCCTCGTGGGTGCCGCTGGGTGGGTTTGCTGAGGTATCGCGTGGTGGGCGGCTGGGGGCGCTTCGCGGACGCAACATAACTGATGCCAGCGGGCTTACTTCACATGGTTTGCACCGCAGAGTTCGCCCCACACAGATACCACCACATGGGGCGCGCCTTGTAGCTTACACCACATGGCCATTGTGGTCGCGCGCGGCGTTGGTTGGCGCCGGCTCTCTACATTCAGTTGTACACAGTTACATCCAGTTTTCTTCGGTTGCAATCGGTTTCCTTCAGTTACATTCATGTTCCCCCCATTTACATTCAGTTTCCTTCAGTTGCATTCTGTCTCTCCCAGTTACATTCAGTTGCTCTCAGTTACATTCAGTTTTCCCCAGTTACATTCATTGTCCAACAATTGCACTAAGTTTTCCGTTTGCACCCCGTTTCCCTGAGTTATACACGGCGTCGGATGCAAACAATTGAGGGGAAATTGAGTGTAACAGCGGGCGCCCCAGTACCAACGCCTTCTGTCGCCCCCCATTGTCCCCCTTTCGATGATGCTGACGAAGTGATGATGATTACGGCGATGATGATGATGATGACGATGATGATGATGATGATGCTGGAGATCATGATGATGCTGATGCTGATGATGCAGTTGATGATGACGATGATGATGCTGATGATGATGACGACGATGCTGATAATGATGGTTATGATACTGTTGATGGTGATGATGATGCTAATGGTGATGATACTGATGATGATGACGACGATGACCGTGATGACGACGAATCTGAATATGGAGATGATGACGATGATGATGATGAAGAAGAAGACGATGCTCATGATGATGATGCTGATGATGATTGTAATGTTGATGCTGATGATTATTTTGACGTGGTGATGATGCTGATGCTGATGATGATGCTGATGATGATGATGATGATGATGATGATGATGATGATGATCATGATGACGGTGATGATCATGATGTGGTGATGATGGTAATGATGGTGGTTGTGATGGTGATGAGGATGCGATGATGATGATGATGATCATGATGAGTATGGTGATGATGATGACGATGATGATGATGATGATGATGATGATGATGATGATGATGATGATGATGATGATGATCCTGATGCAGATGCATATGCAGATGCTGCTGATGATGATGCTGATGCAGATGCATATGCTGATGCTGCTGGTGATGATGGTGATGATGATGATGATGATGATGGTGGTGGGTATGATGATGCTGACGCTGCTGCTGACGATGATGATGATTATGATGATGATGCTGATGATGATGATGATGACGATGATGATGATGATCGTGATGATGCTAATGATGAGGATTATCAGGACACTGCTACTGCTTCTGCTGCTGATGCTGATGATGGTGGTGAAGATGATGATGCTGATGATGCCGATGATGATGCTGACGCTGATGCTGATGCTGATGCTGATGCTGATGCTGATGCGGCTGATGATGATGATGATGCTGATGCTGATGATGATGATGATGCTGATGCTGATGCTGATGCTGATGATGATCATGATGCTGATGATGATGATGATGATGATGATGATGATGATGATGATGCTGACGATGATGATGATGATGATGATGATGATGATGATGATGATGATGATGATGATGATGGTGATGATGATGATGATGATGATGATGATGATGATGATGATGCTGCTGATGATGATGATGATGATGATGATGAGAGAAGAGGGGCAGGATGATAACTATATCCACTCACGCCGCCTTCGCGAGTCTCGGCCTCGCGCGAAGGAGGCCCATGCCAAGCAGCATTCCAAAGAGGAGGCCCGACCGCGCCGCCGCTTCGGAAGTCAGCGCGGGGGTCCTCGCCGTCGCCGTCGCCGCCGTAGGCGCACTTCTTCCTCTTCTCACCTCTCTCCCTCCTTCCTCCCTCCTTCGTTCCCTCCTTCTCTCCTTCCCTTCTTCCCTCCTTTCCTCCTTCCTTTCTTCCCTGCTTCCCTCCTCTCCTTCCCTCGTCGTCGTCCTTCTGCTTTTCGCCCCTTTGCCTCCTCCTCCTCCTCATCCTCCTTCTCCTCGTCCTCCTCTCCCTTTCCCTCCTTCACCTCCCCGTTCCCCTTCTCCTCCTCCTCCGCCTCCTGCTCTTGCTTCTCCTCCTCTTTGAGGCTCAAGTGATCGCACGGCGCCGCCCAAGCGCGCCCTCTCCCTGGCGTGGCGCAGCAGCGGCATGTCCGGGCCGAGAGCGGCTCTCGTGGCCAACGGCGCTTCCCTCGTGGAGGCTGCTGCTG